TGATGGTTCTGCTTCTTACGTTTAGGGCTTTATCTATCTTCCATTGATTTTTCTGTGAAGTGCAAGGGTGGATCCAGTTCCATGCATGTGAATTTCTAGTTATCTTGACGTCCTTGTAAAACAGGATGTTTGGGCCCAAACTGAATGATGTCTACGTACTTGATGAAAACAATTGGCAACTGATAGGTTTATTTCTAGGCTCCCAATTCCATTACACTGGTCTACCTGCCTGCTTTTATGCTAGTACCTTTTTAGTTTTTTGTTTGTTTGTTTCTGAACAGAACATACATTTTAGAACAGTTTAATGTTCATCAAAAAATGAGCAGGAAGTATGGATTTCCTCTTGCATTAGTATCTTAACTGTTGTTGTGACAAAACCTGATGAGGACAATGTAGGAAGAGTTTTTTCTGGCTCACGGTTCGAGGATGCAGTCCATCCTGTTGGGGAAGGCAGCTGGGCATTGCATCCAAAGCCAGGAAGAACAGAGCTGAATGACAGTACTCAGACTTGTTTTCTTCAGCCCTAGAGTCCAACCCATGGAATCGGGTCACCTAATCAGTGAGAGTTCTCCATCCCCAGTTAAAAAACATCTCTGCAAATATCCTCATAGGCCCTTTCAGAGATGTGTTTCCGTGGTGATGATTCTAAATTCAGTCAAGCTTACAACGAAGATTAGTCACTTACCTGTGAACCCCTCTTTATCATTAACACCCCAAATTTGTGTGTTAGAATTGACACAATTAATGAACCAACACTGACATAGTATCCGTCAAGTCCACGGTTTACATTAATGTTCATGTGTGATGTTGCACATGTGCCGGCATTCCTGCTGAGCTCCTGGCCTGGCTCCAAGGGGCAGCACCTAGCCCTGCACCTTCCTTGGTTTGACCACACCTTTGTTCCTCTTACCTTTTGTTTCTCTTATCGCCCTCTGTGAATCAAGGATCAGAGTCTCCCAAGGATCAAAGGCCTGTGCAAAACTTAGTTCAGGAAACCCAGAAAACCGTAGTACCTGAGAAACCAAGTGATTTGAACTTGGCATTTTATCTCTGGGAGCTCCTTTCAGGTTGCTTTGAAGGTACGGAAATTAACTGGTTAAACTGTAAATAGAGAGTAAATAAAAATGCCCTAGGCGAAGTCCTTAGAGGCTGGACTATCTTGCAGCCATAAATGGCTAGATTCATTCTTAAGATGCCTCTGAGTCTTCTTTCCACGGATCTGCGTGAACCCCCACACCCATGTCTCGACAAACGACGACACGTACATTCTATGGCTTTGTCTTGTTTGGGGACAGGGTCTCACTATGTAGTTAATTCTCAGAGTCCTGCTCAGTTAACCGGTGTTAACCTTGAACTCCCTATGCAGCCCAGGCGAGCGCTGGTCTTGTAACTCTCTTCCTTCTTCTTTCCAAGAAGCTGCGATTAGAGAGGTGTCACCACGGCTGGCTTGCTTTTTTAAAAATGATTTAATTTTGGGGAGGCTGCAGAGCTGGCTCAGTGGTTAAGAGGCTAAGGCTGCTCTTATAGAGGACCAAGGTTCAATTCCCAGCACCACGTGGTGGCTCACAACTATCTCTAACTCCAGTTCCAGGGATCAATGCTCTTTGGGCCCCAGAGGGAAATGCATACATGGGATGCATTAACATACATACAAGAAAAACACTGATATACATAAAATAAAAATGCACCATCATATACCACCAGATGGTGGCAGAGCACGCCTTTAATCCCAGCACTCAGGAGGCAGAGGCAGGAGGATCACTGTGAGTTTGAAGCCAGCCTGGTCTACAAAGTGAGTTCCAGGACAGCTAGGACTACATGGAGATACCCTGTTTCAAAAAACCAAACAAGCCGGGCGGTGGTGGCGCATGCCTTTAATCCCAGCACTCGGGAGGCAGAGCCAGGCGGATCTCTGTGAGTTCGAGGCCAGCCTGGGCTACCAAGTGAGTTCCAGGACAGGCGCAAAGCTACACAGAGAAACCCTGTCTCGGAAAACCAAAAAAAAAAAAACCAAACAAAACAGAACAAAAAAACGAACCCCCCCCCCTAAAAAAAAATTGAGCGATACTACCTGGTACATATATACTACATTTCGTTTACCATTCCATACTTGCAAATTTTTGGTTATGCTAAATAATGCTGCTACCTTTATAGGTGTGCAAATCTCTCTTCAGTTTGCCACGAGTTAGAATAAATCATACCGCAACTTTATTTTTAATATTTTGAGGAACCACTGTCTTGTGCCACTATATTCCCCGAAATGTGGCAGTCATCTGTGACACCATCTTCTTTTCTCTCTGTGTATATTCATTAGTTAAATCTGGTTAGTTCTATTTCCTTTTTTTTTTAATATTTTTTAAGATTTATTTACTTATTATGTATACAGAAGAGGGTGCCAGATCTCATTACAGATGGTTGTGAGCCACCATGTGGGTGCTGGGAATTGAACTCAGGACCTCTGGAAGAGCAGTCAGTGCTCTTAACCTCTGAGCCATCTCTCCAGCCCAGGTTCTATTTCTTAAATATATCTTTCCCACCATTACTGCTCTAGGCCACATCATCTAACATTTTTCTTATTCATGACATTATTATAGGCTTCTGTGCCTCAATCTTCTTTGAAGCTATTCTTCACACCGCAGCCAGAAGAAATCTTTCTAAAGTCTAAACCCAAACTGTTCATCTTGTAAACCCTTATCGAATATTAACAAGACCTGTTCTTCCTTGCCCACTCTCCACCTCTAACATTGCTTTGGTTTTGTTTTGAGATAGGGTCTCACTATACTGAGATAGGGTCTCACTATACTGAGATAGGGTCTCACTATAGAGCTTAGGCTGGTCTCAGCCTCCTGAAGACTGGGTAGAAGAATGGGCCACCACATCTGGCTTGTACGCTACATTAATCACTACTGTGGAAGGCCATGGATAACTCTAAATCACATTTTAACACTAGTCAAAATATTTAATTGCAGTAGATTGATTGTTTATTTATTTACTTAATCTCTTTGAGACAGGGTCTCACTAAGTAGTGCCACCTGCCTCAGCCTCCAGAGTGCTAGAATCAAAGGTGTATGTCACCATGCCTGGCTATTTATATTTATGTATAAGCGCGTATCTGTGTATGCCCATGTGTGGTGTTGCCTGTGGAGGACAGAGGGTCATCAGATCCCCAGAAGTTGTAGTTGTAGGTGGTTGTACGACACCAGACACAGGTGCTGGGAATTGAACCCAGGTCCTCAGCAAGGACAACATTCATTTTTAAGCACGGAGCCATATCTCCATTCTCGTTATTTATTTTATTAATTTAATTTAAAGATTTAATTTAGGGCTAGAGAGATGGCTCCATGGTTAAGAGCACTGGCTGCTCTTCCAAAGGATGGAGGGTTCGATTCTCAAAACCCATGTAGCAGCTAACAACCGCCTATAACTCCATTTCCAGGGAACCTGACACCCACTTCTGGCCTCTTCAGGCAGTGCACACAGGAAGAGCATAGACATGCTGGCAGGCAAAACACCCACAAACATAAAATAATAATTTTAAAAAAAGATTTCATTTTAATTTACCTAGAAAAATTACCACTAATAATTTAGAAATAAACTTTCTTTCCACAAACGCATCCTCCTTCAAATGTAAGTCTAGGTGTGGGTTTACAAGATTTGTTTGGTTTTTTATTTTTATTTTATTTTTGGTTTTTTTCGAGACAGGATTTCTCTGTGTAGCTTTGGAGCCTGTCCTGGAACTCCCTCGAACTCACAGAGATACGCCTGGCTCTGCCTCCCGAGTGCTGGGATTAAAGGCATATGACCACCACCGCCCGGCTATTTTATTTTTTTAAGATTTACTTACTTATTATGTATACAGTGTCCTGTCTGCATGTATGCTTGCATGCCAGAAGAGGGCACCAGATCTCATTATAGATGGTTGTGAGCCACCATGTGGTTGCTGGGAATTGAACTCAGGACCTCTGCAAGGACAGCCAGTGCTCTTAATCTCTGAGCCATCTCTCCAGCCCCGTGTTTTTCTGGTTTTTAGAGATAATGTTTCTCTGTGTAGCCCTGGCTGTCCTAGAACTCGCTCTGTAGACCAGGCTGGTCTCGAACTCACAGAGACCCACCTACCTCTGCCTCCCGAGTACTGGGATTAAAAGCGTGCGCCACCACCTCCCTGCAAAGATACCAGTTTTGAAAAAATTCACTACTTTTTTTCCTGAACTACTTCATATAATCTCTTTGGCCTGTGTCAAATGGGAGGGTACATACCTATCTTAAATTGGTTTCCTGAGCTAGGCTTCAGATAATCTCTTTAGCATCTTTTCTACCGTTACAAAATACAAAACAATTTCATTTCCAGAGTAGCTGAGTTAGGTATAACTCCAAGGCGAAACTGGATTCCAGAATCGACCTCATTCCAGCATTCATTCCAGGACTAAGAATTTCCTTCTCCAAATTTGGCTTCTGTGGCCTAGATCGACGATGGATTCTTGTGGGTGGTCCTTGCAAAGATCTCTTCCAGAAGGTGCCCTCTCGCCGCCTATCTGCAGGCACTGGAGGTCAGGCCGACTAAGTCCAGATTCGACGGCTGCTAAAATGCGACGCTGACCAGCTTTATGCAAAAGCATTTTTCAGACGTCCACAACCGTTCCTGAGGGACCTCGGCGCGAACGCCTTGGCTCGGGGGATGGACGACGCCCAGCACCCCTAGGTCAGTCCCCGGCGCGCCTCGCAATCAGCCATCCTGCTGGACCGGAGCGGGCGCCGCGCCGAACGTCGGACCGCGGAGGAAAGCCTACGTAGGACTGATGCTCTGGACACGCCAGCGGCCCACGGGAGAGACTGATTGTCATCGCCAGACCGGGAAACGGGCGGGGCGGAGGCGGCTCCCAGGGCGCATGCGCAGAGAGTTGGTTTCCTGGACGTCGTTTGTGGAGTTGAAAGTCTCGCCTAGCGCCCGGCGTGCGCAGGCGCACACAGCGATCTCCATCTTGTAGGAGAGCCGGTTCCCGAGCGGGCCTCGGGGCGGGGCCGGGGGCGCGGCTAAATGAGGAGGGAAGGTTCGCCTGTCACTCACGGCTCGCCGCTGTCCTGCTGCTACCAAGTCCTCTGAGCTGCGAAGGTCATGCTGCCCAACACCGGGTAAGGGGACGGGGGGTGGGTCGCGAGGTCGCCGGTGCTACCCGGCGGGCGCAGGGAGGATCGGCGGAGCTGCGGCGCGCGCTGGAACTCCGGTGCGCGGAGGAGATTGAGTCGCTGGCACAGCGCGTGCACAGGAACCCAAAGTTGTGTCCTACAGGAACCCAGAGTTGTGTCCTACAGGAACCCAAAGTTGTGTCCTACAGGAACCCAGAGTTGTGAACTGTAGGGCGCAGCGCTGTTCGATACCCCACAGGGAGGGTCTCGAGGGTAGGTGTCCCCGACACCCCAGGGTGGCCCCAACCTTGCCTTTAGCTTGGTCTGGTGACAGACAGTATTGCTTTCAGCTTCTAGGTGAAAGGTCTCTTGGGACAGTTAATGACTTTAAACTTTCTGTTTGTTCTGTATGCTTGATTGTAGGACAATAAAAGAATGGTGTGTTTTGAAAATGCTTTTCAAGTTAACTGCGAGTTAAAATGTTACAATACAAGTACCTTTGGGGACAGGTTTTTTAATTTTTAACTTAAAGTGAAGTGTATTTACCCTAGTCTAGCCAGGCATAGTGGCATATGCTTTTAATCCCAGCTGAAGGATCAAGGCTATCCTGGTCTACATAGTGAGTGCTAGGTCAGCAAAGACTACAGAGTGAGACCCTGTCTACACCTCCCTCCCCCGCAAACCTCCACACATATATTAACACGGTTGTGCAGCCAATCGCCAGGACTTCTCAGTCTTGCAAAATCAAAACAAATACCTATTAAACAATGTTCCTCCAGTGTCTTTTGCCCTACTTAGTCCTTACCAAACTCAGGTGGGTCTACTGTGTTCTATAAAGTTTGGGTGTCTTAAGCAAGTGACAAGCCCATTCTGTAATTAGCTTGACACATATAGCCAACTAAAAAAACTCAATAGTTCAAAAGGGTATAAATGAAAATCATTTAATCCTTAAATATCCAATTTCTTTCTGATATATCTGTATTCTTTGCATTTACAAACATATTTTGTACACCCTACAGGGACACCTCCTCCTTTTTAGAAAAAAGTAGCAAACTCCATTTTGGGTTTGTGGTTTTTACCTGACATGTCTTGGCTATACAGAAGTTTCCAGTACGTGCAGCTCTTCCTTGTCCTCTTTAATGGTTGCGTATTGTTATTGAAGACCATCAATTATTTAACCTGTTCCTTATTGTGGGGTACTAAATCATTTCCAGTTGTTCTGTTATCTTTTTTTGTTGGTGTTGTTTTTATTCCATCTTTGCTTCCATTATTATTCTTTTGTTTTGTCTGAGTGTAGTCCGGGCTGTCCTTTAACTTGTTATATAGACCAAGCTGGCCTTGAACTCACAGAGATCTGTCTGCCTTTGCCATGCTTAGCGGCTTCTTTATCCTTCTTCTATTTTTCTGCTTACACATAGATGGATGTACCATCTAGGATAAATGCTTGAAAACAAAATTGTTGGGTCGAGGAGAATATATATTTTAAAGTTTGACGTTGCAAGACAGATACAGGAGGCAGAGGCAGACGTATGGATCTCTGTGAATTCAAGGCTAGCCTGGTCTACAGAGTTCCAGGACAGCCAGGGCTGTTATACAGAGAAACTCTGTCTCAAAAAAAAAAAAAAAAAAGAAATAAAACAGACAGACAGACAGACAGAAAGACATTCATCAAAAAAAGGATTGTGCAGTCAAAAGCATGAATGAGAGAACAGTATCCAACCTAGCCAGTCTCAGGTCTAAAGTTTCTAAAATAAATACTTCAGAGTAGCCAGAAAAGACAAAAACAAAACTTAAAGGAGGGGAGCTGGCTTTTCCAGATATTAAACTAGTTTATAAAACTAGAGTAATTGAAATAGTTCTAATACATGAGTAAGCAGAGTAAGTAACAAAGCATTTGATAATACAAATCCAGTGGGGAGAGGCTCTTCATTACAGTTAAATTTTGCTTTTATGTTTTCACTAGTGAAGATGAGGCACTATGACCTCCAGAAGACATTTGGCAATATCTGAGAAGATGGTGAGTGTCACAATGAAAGGAGATGCTATACGGCAGCTAAGGGAGTGGAGCCACTGATGCATGTTAACTGCTTGCAGGCGATACACAGCCCCTGATAACAGATTGTCCAGTCTAAAATGTCAGCTGTGCAGAGACTGAGAAAGTGGGGTTTAAAGCCATCTCTGTATCTTTTTATTTATCTGGTTTAAATAAATTTAGTGAGCTCTTTTTGTTGACTATAATACTATTGAACATGAATAAATATGCTTTTCTGAAGTCAGAATTATCACTCTGTTCTTTTAAGGCTCTTTTGTTTTTGTGACATGCCTGTAAGACCACACTCAACTAAGGTCTTTTGTTTAAGGTGGTATTCTAATCTATTATGGTCTTACATTGTCTTATTGGCTCATTTTGTGATGCTGGGGATTGAACTCAGGCATTCACATGCTGTAGACAAGTTCTTCTAAGCTAAACTCCCCAGCCCTTAGTTTTATATTTTCAGTAAATATTTTATGTTTTATGGCAAACATATATACATGTGTACTATATTCATATTTTCTCATCCACCGAAGATTCATTTTGGCCTAGGAAGTAAGTTAGGAAGCCCATTTCATTTTGGTTTAGATGGCTTTTCCCGCTGTCACAGCTAAATTGGCCTGATCATTTAATTCTGTTCTCTTAGTGTACTTTTACCACTATTATAAATGAAGATTTTGTGTGTATAGGGATCTGTTTCTAGACTCTATCCTCTATTACCTAGTCTGTCTATACAAGTTTTATAAACTATGTTAAAATCTGGAGAAGCCAATTGTCCTTTGGATTATGTTTTAGAATCTTCCTGGCTATTCTTGGGTATTTAGTTTAGAAATTTTAGAATGTGAGCCTTGCTAATATATATTTACATATATTTTTTGTTTTGTTTTGTTTTTTTTGAGACTGGGTTTCTCTGTGTAGCTCTGGCTGTCCTGGATCTCTCTCTGTAGACCAGGCTAGCCTCGAACTCACAGAGATTCACCTGCTTCTGCCTCCCGAGTGCTGGGATTAAAGGCATGCTTTGCTGATATATACATATATATATATTTTAAAGAAGTTGTTATTCTTTTTAAAAATGGTTTAAAATTTAATCACATTTACTGTAATTTTGAGAGACTCTTGGCAAATCAAAGTTTGGGTTGTCTCTGCATTTGCAGATTCTAGTCACCTGCCAATGACATTGAGAATACCCTTGCCATTGGCATCCTGATTCCAATGCTCTGCAGCTAGAGGACTTAGGACAGATCTGGCTGCCTCTGCTGCTCTTGTTGCCAATGCCCTGGACCCTGCGTGAGCAGGAGTATGCCCTTTATCCTACTGGGATTCAGTCCAGCTGTATTCCAGGCAGAGGGATAAGCCTGTAAATCAATAGTTGGCAGACATTTTCATGGGAGTACTTAACATTAAACATCTCTTTATTTGTATTTTTTATTTTATTTTCGTGTGTGTGTATCGTGAGTGTACAGTGCCCATAGAGCCTGTTAGAGGTGTCAGGTTCTCTGGAGCTGGAGTTAGATTGTGAGCTGCCTGATGTGGATGCTCAGTATTGAACTCTGGTCCTCTGCAAGAGCAATGAGCTCTCTAATTAACCTCTGAGTCGTCTCTCTAGCCTCTAAACATCTCTTTAGTAGTTTGTGTATACTTTTTTTTTTTTTTTAATACAGGGCTCACTGTGTAGTCCTGGCTGGCCTGGGACTCAATATGTAGACCAGGCTGGCCTTGAACTCACAAAGATCTCTTCTGCAGTGTGCACTACCACAGCTAGCTTCTTATGTGCATGTGAGGCCGGAATTCAGATCTTCAAGCTTGGGGCAAGCTCTTCACGGACGGAGCCGTCTCCTCGGGCCTCTACATATCTGTCTCTTGTCTGTCTTACTGACAGAAGAACAGATGGCATCTTTCTTCTTCCCTTTGACATGAGTGAGAGCCTGGAAAAATTCTTTTTATTCTCTCACCTGGCTCTCAGGTCCTTGCCCTCCCTTGTCCTCATTTAGAGGAGTCAAATCTCTGTCAGTATCTAGTTATTATTACCCCAAAATCTCAGTGATTCCTTTCTCGCCCTTTCCCCCCCTCCGTCTCCCCACTCCCTTCTCTCTCTTTCTTTCACGTAGAGTCTCTAACCCAGATTAGTCTGGAACTTACTGTATATCCCAGGCTGGCCTTGAACTTTTGGTAATTCTTTGACTTAACATTCCAAGAGCTGGGATTCCAGGTGTGTATCACTATGCTCAGCTTGGGGTTTCTATTGTCACATGTCTAACTTGACAGTTTATTTTTTTTTCCTTGTGGTACTAAGTATCAAACCCAGGACTTCATACGTACTAAAGCATGCACTGTACTATTGACCTATAACCTCGACCTTTTTTGGCTTTTCAAGACAGGATTTTTCTGTGTAACAGCTCTGACTGTTCTGGAACTCTCTCTGTAGACCAGGCTGGCCTCAAACTCAGAGATCCATCTGCCTCTGCCTTCCAAGTGCTGGGGTTAAAGGCATGTGCCACCACTGCCCAGCTTTTTTTTTTTTTTTTTTTTGAGTTTTTGTTTTTTGTTTTTGTTTTGTTTTTCGAGACAGGGATTCTCTGTGAAACAGCTCTGTCTGTCCTGGAACTCACTCTGTAGACCAGACTGGCCTTGAACTCAGAGATCCACCTGCCTCAGCCTCCAAGTGCTGGGGTTAAAGATGTGTGCCACTACGCTGTGTTTATCACAGTCTCTTGTCCAACAAAAGCTAGGAGGTCAAGCCAGAATCCAGGGTAGGGGAATAGGAAGGAGTGCCCCAGAATTTCTGGTTATCTTTGAGATTTTCTTTGATCCATACATAACAGTGTCATATAAAATATGGTGGTTGATTTGTAAGGGAAGAGACACATCAGCATGCTCCTCCCCCTTTACAGTGGCAGAGGTTGAACTCAGGATCCTGTGTACCCGAGGCAATCACTCTACCACTGAGCGAGGCACCCTTCCCTGATTTCAGTTA